GTCTGAAGATCTGCTTGTAACTGACTATTAATAGATTCAATATTGAAATCAGACAAAAAAAAAGATCAGCATACATTAAAATATTTGAATACTTCAATATTTTTGGAAGGTCATTTATGTATAATAGGAAAAGCAATGGGCCCAGTATGCTACCCTGCGGAACTCCCTCGGAACAGGGCAGATTAATAGATTCAATATTGTTAAACTAACTCACAATATTAATTTCACAAAAACTCACTGTCCAGACGTATTTTTTATTAATCAATATAAACTATTTCTATCACCTCACATCAACCATTTCATTATTAAAATATGACTTAAATTAAAACTGGATCTATTGTTTTACGCACTTGTGTTCAGGTGATGTGGCTGTGAGACAGCAGCTAATAACATCTGCCTGCTAACCGCTACATGTCCGGAGAAAACTACACTAAAAACACACTTTTTACCGTCGACACCCGGGAAACATATAAAAGCCAACCTTTGACTGACAGAACCAACGCGGTATGTACGTGTCTAACCTGCACATTGTTGTATTTTTAAAGTGGACCACCGAGCTGTCTCTTGCTTTTACCAGCAGCTGTTAGCTAAACGAGCCTCAACTTCTGCTGCTCCCAGTTTGAGCTCAACACCGCCGCCAGGTCTTACTTTTAACTCCCAGCACCACTCAGGAACAAGCTGCGGCATATGACGGCTGCTGTGTCCCAGTCCGACCGCGTCCACATCCTACAATTCCTGCATGGTCCTTCGCAGGAGCACGCCAGGAATGTTTTGCTTCACTTCCTGAAACTTTTGGCAGAGGGTGGTCCATGTGCGAGGGCTGAGACTGCGCATGTGCGCTGTCAAGTTCTGCTTTTAAAGACTAGCTGTAAACTTCGGCAAAAAAGACAACTTTACGTAAAATGAAGGTGACATTAGCAGACAGCAGCAGCAGAGCCTTTGTTATAAAGTGACTAGTGAAGTAAGGAGCTGGTGTGTTGACCTTTATGCAGCTGCTCAAACAAACCTGTGTATGGCAGGAGGAGGTGTGGATGTGGAACCTGGTCCGCGGTGACCGCAAGGCAGTCTGAATAAATCCCCATCTTTAACACAGAAAATGTTATGAAATTAGACAAAAAAAGACTCACATTAGGCTTTTGGGAATTTCCTCTGCCATTTCTTCATTAGGTTATTCTGGCCAAAGTGAGGCCCCCGAAAACTGATGAACAATAAATATCTTACATGTTGCAGATAGCTTTTTAAAGGTCATTAGTTTGAATCATTGGCCATTAATACAGTGATAAAGCATTAGCTATGTATAAACTGATGCCACACACACACACACACACACACACACACACACACACACACACACACACACAC